CTGACAAACTTCCTTTATCACTGATTGTGGTGCCGGCCTTCTGGAAGTAAATTCTCTCAGATTTTGAAAAACCAAAAATGTCTTTATTTCACCTTGTTTTGAAGGATATTTTTGCTAGATTTAGAATTCTAGCTTGATAAAGTTCTTTATTTTTTTTTTAATTTATTGTTTTTATTTTGTCTTCCAGCACTTTAAAGATGTCTTTGCATTATATTCTAGCCTCTGTTGTTGTTGGTGGGAATCCTTTGGTTAACTGCATCACTGTTACCTTTTACACAATGTCATTTATCTCTGGCAATGTTCAAGATTTTTCTCTTTATCTTTAATATAGGTTTTAGCAATTTTACTGTAACGTTTCAAGGTGTGGTTTTATTTTATTTATCCTGCCTAGGATTTGTTAAGCTTCTTACATTTGTAAGTTAATGTGTTCAGCCAGTTTGGGATGCCTTCTGCCATTATCTCTTTGAATATTTTTTCTGATCTGTTTTTTTCTGTCCTCTCCTTCTCAGACCCCAATTACACGTATATTATACTACTTGATATTGTCCTATAATTGACTGAGGTTCTGTTTATTGTTTTTAATCTTCATTCTCACTGTTCTTCATATTGGATAATGCTTATTGATCTGACTTTAAGTTTACTTACCCTTTATTTGGTCATTTCCATTCTTCACTAAGGCCATCCAGTGAAATTTTTGTTTCAAATATTTCACTTTTCAGTTCCAGAATTTTCACTCGGTTCTTCTTAATCATTTCCATTTCCCTGCTGAGAGTCTTCTTCTTTCAATTATTATGACCATGTTTTCCTTTATATTCTTGAATATATTCTAACACCTGCTTTAAAGTTATTGCCTGAAAATTCCAACATTTAGGTTACTTCAAGTTCTATTATAGCAATTACATTTTTTCTTGATTATGGATAACAATTTCCTATTTCTATACATATCTGTTAATTTTTGATTAGATAATAAATATTATGAATGACAGGTAATAGAGGCTCTAGATCTGTTTTATTCCTTTAAAGAGTGTTAATATTTTTGTTTCAGACAAATTACTAGCTGAACTTGTGAATGCTTAGGATTACACTTTGTTATGATCTACTTTGGTTTTGCCCTTAGTTTTAGGATGAATCCTTTATTCCGAAGGCGAGGCCTTTCTGAGGGTTCAGACAAAAACCTAAGTGTTTGCCAAGTCCCTATAACTTGGGTGAGATTCAAATTCCAAACTCTACAGGCAATCTTCGTAGGCAACAGGCAGCTATTGAAATGTCTGCTCAGCTTTTCAGCTCTCTAGCTATTGTTTTCCACTGGGCTCACTGGCCTTTCTCCCATACCTATGCAGTTTAGAAGTCACCCAAGCATGGAGGAGAATTTATATACAGAAGTGGAACTCTCTTCTCTATGGCTGCCTCCTTTCTGGAATTTCTTCCCTTAAATCCCAGCCACTCTGGCAGCCTTGAACTCCATCCTCATATACTTCAAGAATATATGACTGTGGCCTTGAGCTGTATTTACTCTTGGTGGAATGGGGAGTGCCCTCAGGAGAGAAGCTGTATAAATGTAGGTCTCATGCATTCCAATTCTTTCTCTCAAGGATCAAACTGCCAACATTTCTGCCTTCTTTTGATCAGCCTCTAGTGTCTTCAAATAGTTTAGTTTTTTAAAAAATATTTCATCCAGAGTTTTTTTTTTTTCTTTTTCTTTGCAGTACGCGGGCCTCTCACCGTTGCGGCCTCTCCCGTTGCGAAGCACAGGCTCCGGACGCGCAGGCTCAGCAGCCATGGCTCACGGGCCCAGCCGCTCCGCGGCATGCGGGATCTTCCTGGACCGGGGCACGAACCCATGTCCCCTGCATAGGCAGGCGGACTCTCAACCACTGTGCCACCAGGGAAGCCCTTTTTTCTTTTAAGATTTTACATACAAATGAGGTCATATGGTATTTGTTTTTCTCTGTCTGACTTATTTCACTTAGGATGATGCCCTCAAGGTCAATCCATTTTGTCGCAAGTAGCAGGATTTCCCTCTATGGCTGAATAATATTCCGTTGCGTACAGATACCACATTTTCTTTATCCATTCATCCATCAGTGAACACTTAGGTTGCTTCCATGTCTTGGACATTGCAAACAATGCTAATCTCTCGTTTTTAAAAGAGGCTAGTGAGGAAAGATGCTTTTTCAGAAAATGAGCTGTCTGGATACTCTCAATTTTATACTACGATTTAAAACCAAAAAATGGCTTTAAATGACTCACAGGTCATGGAACTATACAGACAGAGGGATGTACAGGCATTACTGAAGCCAGGTCTGTCCCACCAAACCACAAATATAGAAGAGGTATCTTTCCTAGTGCCTGTGTGTATGTTATTCACAGTTTTCAGCTCTCCTTCACCTCTTTGGTTTCCACGGAGCTCATAATTTTTGGTCTGTTTTATCACCTTGTTCCATCTTCTGGCATCTGTATACTCCTGATTCTCCTGACCTGGCTTCTAAATCATTTTGATTGCTCTGACCCTTAATGTTGAGTGTCCTCTCAAAATCCATATGTTGAAGTCCTAACCTCCAGTACTTCAGAATGTGATTTTATTTTGAGGCAGCATCTTCACGGGGTAATCATGTTAAAATGAGAACATTAGGGTGGGCGATAATCCGACATAACTGGTATTTTTATAAAAAGGGGAAATTTGGACACAGAGACATGCAGAGAAGGAAGATGATGTGAAGAAACACAGGGAGAAGATGTTTATCTACAAAACAACGGACAAGGTCTGGAATTGATCCTTCTTTCACAGAAGAAACAAACCCTAATGACTGACCTTGGGCTTCTAGCCTCCAGAACTGAGACAAGAAATTTCAGTTGTTTAAGGGACCCAGTCTATGCTACTTTGTTACAGCAGCCCTAGCAAACGAATACACTTACCACTTAACAAATAAATGGGTCCCCACTTTTCTCCTTGGTTCTAACTTATGACTTTGTCTCCTAAGATCCACTGACCCCTCAGTAAGGTAAATGGCCAAAAAAGCTCAATATCCAAAGATGTGTGTCCCAATTTTTTCACTTAAGTTGAATGACTTTTCTGATCCTTAGATTCCTTATACATGAAATAAGGATACTGTCTTACCTATCTGTCTGCAGAGATAAAGCTGAGATAGGATACCACACAGAGACTGTAAAATGCTACGCAAGTCTAAGGCATCCTGAGTCCCTGCTCTTTATTCATAATGAGCTGATCCTCTTGCCTAATTATAACAGACCACGGTTAGAAGGTTCTTTGGGAGGCTCAAGTTTAGAATTCTCCACTTTTAAGAGGGATACTTGCAGCCCCAGGCTTTATTCCTGCTATTTCTAGTTCAAGAGGCAGGATATGAGATGGATGACTAAGTCTGTTTTGCTCAAAGAGACAAGAATGTGGGGTGATGCTTCAAACTTTCACTGTTCACAAATCTCCAGAGGGTTTAAAAATAATTCCTCAGACAACATATTTATTTTGATAAGGTAATGAGTTATGGAAACCAATTCTTTTAGAGAATGGACTTTTCGGAGATGTATAAGGGGCGGAGAACTTTAGCGGCACGTCAAACTGTATTAACAAAATCGGAGTCCACTGAATGTGATTTTAAATTTGAAAAAATTAAATGCAGGATGCTAGCAGCTTTCCAAAGTATTTTGTATGCTCCTTTGCCTGCTTTTAAGATGATTTGCTAATAAGAATTTGAAAAATTGTTGTTTCTACAGTAATTAACACTTTTATAAAATTATTTATAAAAAAATATAACTTACTCCCAAATAGTTGACATTCTAGTTGCATAAATTCTTATCTAGTCTCAAACACTGCTCAAAAGAACTACATATTTAAATGATTCTACCCTTTTCAGTTCTCTAGAATGCCTCCAGATGGCATTAAAACCCTTCTCCTACTATATTTTACAATCAAAAATTTAAAAATTAGTAATATTTTAACCATTTAAAACCAGTCACATTCATTATATCGTTAGAAATCATGATAATGGAACTATTTTGAACTTTTAGGGTAACATCTTAAGAAACATGTAATCATAACCTTTATGAAACAAATAGCCATCCTATGTAAGCCAAAGGCTCTTCCTAAATTGAGAAACAGATCTTGGACAAATACACTCAATAATGTTATATCATAAGCTGTCATTTCTAATGAATAGCACTTTAAATGCTTAGTAATAAGAGCACTGGCCCAAATATAGATATACGCACAAAACTGTCTTATAATAAGAAAACACATTTAACTCCTCAGAAATGATAAAAAAAAAAAAATAATGATTTTTAAGGAGTAAACCTGTTACTAATTCCTATGGAGCTAAAATAATTTGTTAGCTTGTGAATTATGTAAACTTTGGCATATAAATTTGGCATCAAATTAATCGTCAAAACATTTTTTGGATTGCTGGGGAATTGAGAGGAAAAAGACAAAACGTAGAGTGAAGCACATGTTTTAAAAGAGCCTTTTCTTATCTTTTTAAAACTGCGTTTGTTAACTCAAAACTATGAACAAACCCTTGAGGGTCCAGAGATATCTATAACTGTATATTTCACATAATTCAGAGGTGAGGTTGCAAAGGGCAGGCTTTAAAATGACACTGGTACTCCCCAGGTGTGCAGGACAGACTATCTCCTAGTATGTGTGAAAAGTCCTCTAATTATGTAGGACAGTGATGGAAGTTGCCAAGCAAATTCCAAAAGCTTTCCTCCCCTCTCCCTGCCAAAATAATACCGTCAAATCTCGTTACATTTGTACTTTATGAAGAGGAGCCTTGTGTTTTCAAGATTATTCTTACTGGGCTAAAGCATAAGAAAGACCTCAAAATGCATATGCACCCAAAAGCATTTGAAAACACATTATCATGAGAAAGAGAACCACAGGCTTCTTTCCATTATTATTGTTACTATAACAAGATATTTGCGCTGTTTCATATTATAAGCATATTAAAGAACAATCATCTCGGGATAGAAACAGGAAACAGACTTACGATGTATTCGATGTGCCATTGTCTGGACTCCCTGGCTCAGCATCACCTTTCTCTTAAAAAGGAAGAAAATACCAACATGTGAGCGTTACAGCCTATAAGATTTAAGAGAGGTTCAATATATTTCCACATTCCTACTAACAACCATTCAAAATGTGCAGCAGGAGGCTTTTAAAACATCTTTTTTATTGTCCAAGAACCAGATTTGCAAAATAATTTCTGCTTTGTAATACAATGGCCCGGGCAAGGATCTGTGAATAGGTACTACGGAGCTGTTTGCAAACAAGCAGAGGTTCAGAGTGGAGACCCTGCCAAAAGATGAATACCTTACAGATGGCATCTGTTTCCTTCTACTTCTTTTACAGGAAACTTAAGGAAATAAACCCCATTAGCATTCTAGATGCAAGGCGTTTTGAATTCTGATCCCGTCTGCTAACACAAGCTAAACCAGGTCAGGTGACATCAGAACTTGGAGGAGAGAATTTTACACAACACTGAGGTTGCACCCTAGCTTACAAGATTCTCAAGAATTACACCCCACAGAGAGCCCCAGCAGCAGGTTCTGGGGTCACCCTGTTAATGCAGAATAAGATATAAATCAGAAATCCTTCCTGGCCATCTGAGAGACTAGTTAAAGAAATGTTTCTGCCGTCTGTGGTCACCGAGGATTGAATGGGCTTTAATGAAGGGAGCCTGGAACCAGTTCGTTTTTTGTAGTTTTAAAGGGCAAATTCCTCTTGCAATTGACATAATGTAAGTCTTAGATCCTCGGCCATTGATGGCTTGACACCATACATCCTTGTATTGTAAGGCACTTCTTTTTGTTTTCTTGGGGCTAGGGGATGGAGGAAGGTCATGACTGCCATTGTGAGTTAGCTGTGGTTAGTTAGGCTGGTTATGTAGTGCTAAAAGTTTAACATACCCCAGAGAAGGTTATGAGTTGCAAGAGATGGGCCTGATGGTGGCAAATTGCTTTGCTTTGCTCTTTCAAGTCAGGCCTGGAGACCTCACAGAATCCCCCAGTCTGCTGTTTAGGGCTTCAGGCTCATGTCCTGTACCAAGTCCCTTTTGTCAGCTGTAGCCATTAGCTTATTGTCACCGAGGCTTGGGAATGACCCCCTAAATTACATGATGAACACATTCTGAAGATATCGTCCAAACTGAACTCAAAAGGAAACTTTATAATTTCTTTTCCTTTTTGTTCTTTCAAACCGAACGGTTGTGAGAGAAAGAAGACAGTGACATATAGTGCACACATCTATCTCAGATGTAACTCTGTGGTAATGCGTGTCTACACACTGCCGGGACATACGTGAGGGACAGTCACCTTGTGAAAAGTCACATCTGTTTTAACTGCCTCAACAGCAAACACTGACGGAGTCCCAGTACGTGGGAAACCATGCTGAAGTAAAAACAGAGGCAGAGAATTAATAAACTTGCTCTAAAGCTTGCACGTTCATAACATATTTTGTCTTCCAGGCCAGGTTTGTTGTAAACTCACTTAGGAGACATGCAAGACCTTGTCAACTGGCTTTTGTGCTAGAAAATAACCTTAGTACTGTCCAAAATCACTTTTCAAATGAGAAACCACAATTCCTGCCAGAATCCTAAAGTACAGAGTTGTAACACCTGCATTACCTAAGATAAAACTAAATGGAGGTTTAATTTTTCTCAAACATAGCGATCTTTTTTTTCCCCTTTAATTTGGAGACATTGGTTACTTTCCCTGGTCTGTGGCTGCCAGAAGTTACCCCACATCCAATCATCATCAGGAATGTAGGCAGCAGGCTCAGAAGCCCAGGCAACAGTAAACATTTCTCAACAACTTATGTCATTAAGAAAAAGGAAATCAATATGATACATGAAGACATTGTTTGGATGTCTGAATAAATATGTTTTACCTTGACCAACAATGCTGCCAGATAACCCGCGGGCTGAGAGGACATAGGCCTTATTGCACATGGGATCTGGGGGCTGCAGGAATAGGGAGCCGGATCCGTGCAGGGACAAAGCTGCAGCTGATTATCTCTGCTCTTAGCAGCACTTACGTTGTGGCAACGGGGAAAACAGAATAGGTTCTGGCAATCAGGAAGGATGCAATGGGGCCAAACTGGGCATTTATGAACAGTCGGGGAATGAGTGCTCTCAGCTGATCATGAATTAACCTTTTTGGGGAAAAGTCAACGCAGGATGGAGTCAGGAAGTAAAACTATGTTTGCCCTTCAGAAAGAATGAAACACAAAATTCTCTCCAATATCTGGAAATTTTACGTGATGTAATTTCTGAAGTTAACTTGAAGTGTCTATGTGCACAAGCCATGGAGAATCATAGGCTCTTTATCAGGACCCGAGGGAAAATGATGGATGTGAGCTGGAAAAAATTCTCAGTAAGGGAGTTTTCAGTTGGGTGCTCAGGAGATGTTTCCTCTCCGCCGCCAATGAGGCCTGGTGGGGGTTCGTCCTGATTATTCCAGCTGTTTTCATGATAGATTCAACACTGCTCTCCTAGGGAAGGAACCTGCATTGATCTTTAAGACACTGGGCATAAGAGATAGGCTCAGGTGCAGTGTGGTCATTTTGCAGGCGGAAATATAATTAAAGAGAGAAAGAGAAAAAACGAGCCATAGAAAGAAAATGTATACATTCATACTCACATATAAATACATATGTATGTGTATATGTACATTACATGTATACTCTCAGCTTGACACTCTATATTTGTCTACCTGAGTCTTCCACAGTACCAAACATATATTACATGCTCAGTATATGTCTTCTGTCTGATGACCTATCATTAACACAGTGTCCCACGCTACAGTGGGAAAAGAGGAGAAAGGTACACATACCACTGAGATGGTATACAAGTTAAGGTATGAAACAGCTTGATGCCTCCAATAGGTCACTTAAAAAATTACAGTAGCTACATGTTTAATCCAGTAAATCTACCAAGGACTTTTATGTCGAGGAGTCTCTCTGGAAACACAGATAATATCTAATTCACGCCCCTTCAACTGAAAATGACTGCACTGCTGGAGTACCATAATTAGCGCTATGAAAAGGAAATCAAAATAGACCTAGGCTGTCTTCTGCTTCGAAGGCAAGTTTTGCTGTGCTACCACTTTATAATAAAAGTAATCTGTGCTCAGGGTAAAGAAAAAAAAAACTGAACAGTAGAGAAAAGGTAACGACTCTGCTTGCTTTTGTCATTAGTCCTGTTAGCCCTGCAACTATAACGCTAAGTAATATGCTTATTTCTAGATGAATCAACTTCAGACAGTATGTAATAATTTCTGATATGCAAAATGAGAGCTAAGATATTTAATACACTTATACTACCACCTCCCTTCCGCTTAAAATTTTTGTTAGTTCTGTTAAACTTTAGTGTCTAGTGGGTATTTTAACTTTGAATAAATTTAACCTATTTTTTGATTAAACAACTTCTGACAGTACCTTTTCTTTTATACTATGCGAAGTGAGGCAACTCACGTCCCACTATGCACAGCTATACCTTTCCTCCGGCATAGCCAAGATTTAAAATATTTATATTCTGTTCAGTAACTATTAATGAGTCATCCTCATTAATATTAATTTTTTTTTTTTAAGTTTTGTTTTTTCCACGGTACGCGGGCCTCCCACTGTTGTGGCCTCTCCTGTTGCGGAGCACCGGGGCACGAACCCGTGACCCCTGCATCGGCAGGCGGACTCTCAACCACTGGGCCACCAGGGAAGCCCCCCTCATTAATATTAATTTAATCAATAATTTAATTTTGGGAATTGCCCATAGGCCATGAGAAAAATTATACATGAATAATGGAATTTACAATATTATAACAACATATATATTAGCCTCTAAGGAACAGTAGAGAGACTGGACCTGCACAGAGGGTCTCTGCCACTACACTTGAAAGAAGGCAAGGGTTCCCAGTATTTACGTCAAATGGATTCTCATACTTATATCTCATCATGGCACAGGTTCATTTGTCCCAAGTAAAGGCTATGTTTTTCCTAAAGAGAAATTCAATAGAGCATGCACGTAATGTGTACAGAAATGTTTATATACAGTTTTTAAAAAGTAAAATGAGTTAACCGTAAAAACACATTCCAGGCTCAGAAGTGGGACACTGACAAGAAATAACCCAGAAGCCTCCTGAGCTTGTGTCCTATTCAAGCCCAGCTAGCTAGCTAGCAATGGATTTTTGTGTCAATCATTCTCCCTTTCTTGACAGTTTCTGCCACCATGAATTAATTTGTAAATAAAAGTCTTTACTTTTTCCTGACTTTAAATTTCATATGAATGCAATCATAGTGCAGGTATTCTTCTGGGATTACTTCTGTCATTCAATGATACGACTTTAGATTCAGCCAATGTGATGTGCATAGCTTTGGTTCATTCACCCTCACTGCTGTGCAGCATCTCCTTATAAAAATCTGTCATTTTGGGCTTCCCTGGTGGCGCAGTGGTTGAGAGTCCGCCTGCCGATGCAGGGGACACGGGTTCGTGTCCCGCTCCGGGAAGATCCCACATGCCGCGGAGCGGCTGGGCCCGTGAGCCGTGGCCGCTGAGCCTGAGCATCCGGAGCCTGCGCTCCGCAACGGGAGAGGCCACAACAGTGAGGGGCCCGCGTACAGCCAAAAAAAAAAAAAAAATCTGCCGTTTTCCTTTATTTGACACTTTTTCAGTGTTCTACTTAAGAAATACATCAGAAAGATGTTCTCTATTACCTTTTGAAAGTGTATAATTTTACTGTTCACATTTAGGTCTTCTACAAATGCCTGGAATAGTTTCTGTATATGATGTCAGGTAGGAGATAGTTTGCTTTTTTTCCCTATCGATAACCAATTATTCTGGTACTATCTATTAAGAAGCCCATTCTTTCCCCATTGATCTACATTGTTAGCTCTGACACGAATCCAGTTTTCATAAATCTGTGGTCTGTTTCTGGGCCCTTTATAACTGTTTCATTGCTCAATTTATTATTATCTTCATTACTTAGCTAAAACATTTATTCATTCATTCACTCATTCATTCATTCATATAATAATATTAGTAAGGCAAGGCTCCAACCTGGTCCTTCTTAAGGAGTGACTGAGTTATTTTTGGTCCCTTGTTCTATCAAATAAATTTGAGAATCGCCTTGTCAATTCCCAGATACACGGCTGCTGTTGAGAAGTCAACTGGAAGTTTAATTGTTACTTCTTTGAAGTTATTAAGGGCATTTTAAGAATTTTTTCTTTACCTGTGTGGCTTGCAGTTTAACTATAATATGTCTAGGGTGGACTTCTTTCTATTTATCCTGCTTAAGATTCATTGGGTTTCTTGAATCTATGGGTTAGTGTCTTTCAATTCTGGAATATTTTCAGCCATCATCTCCTTTAATATTCCCTCTGTTCCCTTACCTTTTTCTGGAATTCTAGTTAAATATATTTAGGCCTTCTCACTTTATACTCCAGGTTTGTTAACTTCCTTTTCATATTTTCCATTTCTGTCTCTCTAGGCTGCATTCTAGATAATTTCTTAAGTTCAATTTCCTGATTCATTACTTTTTCTTCACCTATGTGTAATCTGCTGTTAAACCTGACCAAAGAAATTTTAATTTCTGTTATTATTTCCTAACTTCTAGAGGTTCTGATTAGTACATTTTTCAAATGTTTTTGTTCTTTGTCATATTCTCAATTCTCTCATTTCTGTAAATTAACGTAAGCACTCTTACGTTATATTCCGGGCTTGGTAATTCCAATATCTGAAGTCCTTGGAGGTCTCTCTAATTCTCTGCTGTCTGTTCTTTTTCCTTGCTCTTGTTTCATTGTACATAAGCGTTTTTGACAATGAGTGCTCATTTCCTGAGGAATTCTATTTCTATTATTATTTATTCTTATCCATTTTCTTTTTCTGGTATTCCTACTAGCTGGATTTGGCCCTTCCACCCTGACTAATCTTCCACGTAACTTAATTTCCTTTCATATTTTCCATCTGACTTTTGCTTTATATTCAGAAAAAAAAATGTTTTCAACCTTATTTTCCAGACTTCAGACTTCAGCTATTATCGATTACATTTTTAAATTTTGTCAACCCTATTTTTAATTCTGGAGTGCTCATTTGTTCTGTACCTGCTTCTTTTTCATACCAATCTGGTCTTTTTATCTGATGCAAATAATTTCAAATCCTTCTGAAGACTGGCATTACATTTGAAATGTGTTTCTTCTGTTCCTTGAATTAAGTAGATTTCCTCTGCGTCATTCCTTCTCTTCGGTGCTCCTGGGTTAGGTATTCACATCTTTGAATGATAACAGGCTGGTTAACAAAGGTACTGGCGTGGATTTCCCATATTAATATATTGATCCATTTTGCTAACATACGTCTCCCTTGTAGGGAAGGGCTGATTTAGGGCTCTTTCTAAGTGGACAGGGTATGTTAACTGGAAGGCTTCATTTAGGGTTCAGGAGAAGAGGCCTCAATACAAGCTGGGAGCCCTGACTGCTCTCTCACTCCCCAACAAAAATAGGAAGTGCTTCATTCTGGGTGTATAGCATTTCGGTTTCTTTCCTTCTTGAGAAAAGTCGGCTCTTCCTCCGCCCATCAGAGATATCTTAAGGTATATAAGGTCTGGTATATACCTTATATATAAGGTATATAAGGTATATATCTTAAGGTATACCAGATATATTAAGGTCTGGTATTATCTCAGAATCTACTCTGCTTCTCTCTTAGGTACTAGCTCCCGACTAGAAGTCCTAGTTAGCTGTTCATTTTCTTAGCAAATATTACTACGGTTTTTTTTGTATTTTGTTTTTTTGCTGGAGGAAAGCTCTGTATGAAAACCCGCTAGGATAGTGGTAGAGGAGTAATGGGTGGAAGAATGGCCATGTTCCTATCACTACGCACAGTCAACGCCTCTTCTCTGCTGGGGTTGAGAGGAAATCAAGTCTCTCCTGGAGCTCCCAAGGACATTCCCTCTACCACCACAGCTTGTTCCTGTTTGGTTCATTATTTTCCTTTTTTCTTTTTCTAGGTCATGACCTTCCCTGCCCAGGATTATCTGTCTAACAGTAGGGTCCTGTCCAGTCTCCATTTTCCAGACACTCCGCTGAATTTCTGGTTCTCAGTGCTGTTACGGATTTATTTGCATCACTATTGCTTTATGGTTAGTTCAATGGAGACTCTGAAGGGAGGGAAAGAAGCGCTTATGCTCAGGCTGCCACCTGAACAGGACAGTCTTACACTTTTAAAAAACTGTAGACATACATCACCTGTTTTAATATTTAAGTTTCTCAATACTTAATTAGCCTCTATTTTATATTAAATTAAATTAATCGGTAATCAGCAAACTGGCTAAAGTAGCTCTCTTTAAAAAGACTTGGATTAAAAAATCATCTTCTGTTTAATTTATACACTCTCTTCTCTTAGTACCTACACAATTTAGTTTTTCTAATTTCAAAAAGATAAAAACGACTGACGTAAAGTGGGGAAGGTCAGTCCATTGATACACATTTTGTCTCTCTGAAGTACAGATTTTTCCTATTTTCTACATATTTACTGGAGTCATGACTCCCAAAGCTGTAATGATTCCAAACCAAATACAAGAAAGAGCATGAGAAATGCTGGTGGGACCAGCTCTCCTAAAATTTCCAATGTGCTATAATCTACAGAGGACACTCCAGTTTTTATCTTTATTTTTTTATTTTCCATTATGGTTTATTACAAGATATTGAATATAGTTCCCGGTGCAATACAGTAGGACCTAGTTGTTTAACTATTTTATATATAGCAGTTTGTATCTGCTAATCCCAAACTCCTAATTTATCCCCCCTTCCCCTTTGGTAACCATAAGTTTGTTTTCTACGTCTGTGAGTCCGTTTCTGTTTTGTAAGTAAGTTCATTTGTGTCATATTTTAGATTCCAGACGTAAATGATATCATATGATATTTGTCTGACTTATTTCACTTTGTATGATAATCTCTAGGTCCATCCATGTTGCCGCAAATGGCATTATTTCATTCTTTTTTATGGCTGAGTAGTATTCCATTGTTTATATGTACCACATCACTACGATTTTTAAATAGTGATATTACCTTTTTAGAGATGTGCTTGGTTTTGAGGGGCGGGGATTTATTTGAAAAAAAAAAAAATCCCCTTACCCCTAGAGAAGAGAAAAACAATTACAAATGTCCTCAGATGATGAAATGCCAGAGGGATTTATACCACACCATGCAAGTGCCACTCACAATTCCCCAGAAGATAGGTCTGCTTTTACATAATCTCAATTGTAGTATCAGCGAGTGAAAGTTATGTCATGCTGTAAAAATATGCCAGATGCAAACAGAAATCTTGGACAAGAATTCAGTCTCACACTGAAGGGACAGAAGCAACATTTTGGGGGGCAAGGTAATGGGTTAGTTATTAACTGCAGAATCTCATTTTCATCATGTGCAGAATGGAGATGTCATGCCTACTTCACACAGCTATGGTTAGGCTTAAATAAAATAGCATACATAAGGAAGAGACTGAACACAGACGGGACTGAACAGCTGTTTCCTTTGTTTTTCTTTATGTCAAAGACTCCAAGCTGAGAGAAGGTACATTTATTCTATTATATCTATTTTCTCCTCCCTTTACCCCGAACTGCTTAAATTCAAATGGAAAGAAATGGTGAGGGAAGCAATGGCATATGATGCTTTGGCATATGATGCTGATGCCTACACACCTCATGGACCTAACCATGCGTCTCCTGATTCCTTTCCTTACTATTACATTTATTAATTTCTAGAGATTTCAAGTCCCTTGGCATTTCACCTCTTCCCTGGTGCTAGTACTCACAGCAAATTCCAGCAGAGGGTGGGATAACTAAGGGATACTGCCTATGGATCATTATGCCATCATCCCCCTACGCTGACCTTTCTCTAGCTGTGCATTAAAAGTCTGGGGCTTCCCAATGCATTTGTCTGGATGTCTTTTCTCCATAATCCTCCGGCCCTCACAGATGCTCAGTAGGTCAGCCTCAGTTCCTAAGACACGTCTACTGGCTCAGAGTGATTTTCATGTTCAAACATAGCTTTGAAATTTGCAAGGGATGCTCTCAGCCGACCGGCCGATCAGGAGACTAACAGAGCCCAGTCTTTGTGGGTGTGCTTTCACGACATGAACGGGGTAGCTTATGCATATTTAATGCTCAAGAAAACATTAATACCAATTAACGGTGCCGAAGAAGAGAATTAAAACAATACTTCAGGGAATGATATTCTCTCTTTGATGATGAAGCCCACATGTTTTATTAGACACTGGGTTCAGTAACGAAATTCCTTCCTGGACCCTTTAGTCTGTCTCTCCCTGGAAGAGGGCATGGTTTCTTCATGGATTCTAAGGACATTTATCATGAGGTCTTCTGATCGCTTTACCCACCTATTTTCTTTCAATTTAGGTAACTCATTAGCTGCCTTTAAAAATTTTTCCCCCTCACACATACCAGAGGCCAACTATAAGAAAGGATGGTGTTCCTTCCTCCTAGGGTTGGTTTGAAATTCACCATTTTATGTTTTGGCCTTCCCTCCCTTGAATAAAAAGACAGAGGAGCATTCACTGTCACCATGCATCTTATCCACTTTGGGTAGCACTTGGACAAATGGCCCTCCTTTCCCCACTTTATTTTGTCTTTTAGTGAAATCCATTTTTTTTGCAGTCCGCGGGCCTCCCACTGTCGTGGCCTCTTCTGTTGCGGAGCACAGGCTCCAGATGCGCAGGCTCAGCGGCCATGGCTCACAGGCCCAGCCGCTCCACGGCACGTGGGATCTTCCCAGACCGGGGCACGAACCCGTGTCCCCTGCATCGGCAGGCGGACCCCCAACCACTGTGCTACCAGGGAAGCCAGTGAAATTCTTTTAAACCTCCTCACCTGCTCCACCCCCTCCAACGCCCACATATGAAGCTACAGAGAGAAACTTTTCTTACTTGCATTACTGTGTCCCGAGGAAGTGAGCTGAGAGTCCTAAAAAAAAAAAAAAAGAAAAGCAAGAAATATCAATTAATTTTCTTATTTTGACTTTCAAAATGTAAGTTGAATATGAGATATATTACTGGTCATTCAGAACCTAATCACAGATCATAATCTCTACCAGCTACCGTAATGAGAAACATTTACGTGTCTGTTAAGCAGTTCTGGTAACAGAGCTCACAATCACTTCCATGTTGTATTACAGACTTTTTGTTTTGTTTATTGAGGTGAAATTCACATAACATAAAATTAACCACTTTGAAATGAACAGTTCAGTGGCATTTCATACAGTCACAATGTACTAAACCACCACCCCTATCTAGTTGCAAAATATTTCTATCATTCCAAAGTAAAATTCCTTACCCTTTCGGCAGTGTTTCCCCATTTCCCCCTCTCCTCAGTACCTGGTAAGCACACACACATGCACATGTACTTGTTTGAGTCCTTCTTTTCAATCTTTTTTTTAAAAATTAATTAATCTATTTTTGGTTGCATTGGGTCTTTGTTGCTGCACACAGGCCTTCTCTAGCTGAGGTGAGCAGGGGCTACTCTTTGTTGTGGTGCGTGGGTTTCTCATTGCAGTGGCTTCTCTTGCTGTGTAGCACAGGCTCTAGACATGTGGGCTTCAGCAGTTGTGGCACATGGGCTCAGTAGTTGTGGCACGTGGGCTTCAGTAGTTGTGGCTCGCGGGCTCTAGAGCGCAGGCTCAGTAGTTGTGGCGCACGGGCTTAGTTGCTCCGCGGCATGTGGGATCTTCCCAGACCAGGGATTGAACCCGTGTCCCCTGCACTGGCAGGCGGATTCTTAACCGCTGCACCACCAGCGAAGTGTCCTATATTATTGACTTTTAATCTAACCCACTTCCCTTTGAACGTACCTTCACTCTCACCACCTTTCTGCAGACGAGGCTGGCAACCATCCCATCAGGGACACTCCACTGAACAACTGCTGTCAATCTCACATCGGTGGGTAGAAAGATTATTACAGATTTCCACTTATCTGAAATGGCAGAAAGCCAGTACTATGTGGTATCTGAGTTCAGTTATTGATCAGGTAAACAGTGATTGAACCTGATTTTATTTCCATTAAAGTGAAATGCTAAATTCTGCCTTGGGAATTCACATCCTCTTTCCTTGCAAAAGTCCCATTTAATATGAAATATACAGGAGAGTTATAAAAGAATGAATGAATTGAGACAGGGTCCATGAAGGACTACTGCCCTGCCCCCCTGGCTGCAAAACCCTGGGGGCCCCACAGAGTATGCAGATCCTTCATCCTTCACCGAGCCAGAGCCAGAGCCAGAGCCAGGCTGGGTTCACAGTAGAGGGCAACAAGCCCCAGGCACTGGGGCTTCTGTGTTTCCGCTTCTGTGTCTCCTGCTGCCCCATCCAGATAGACACCCTTACACCTATAGCTTCTGTCTCAAAGGCCTTCTCTCCCTTTGTGAACATCATCCCTGAGTAGATGCCTGGGGCGTGGCTCAACACATCTGCCCACTGTCATTTCAGCCTCCTCTGGGAGCATTCAAGGAGGCCTGCTATTGGGCCTCTATTGGGTCCTCAAGGGTTACAGAAGTGAAGGTACAAAGCCCTTGCCTTCCGGGCCTGGGAGCCCAGTGAGTCAGCAGAGGGGGTGATGTGTATGCAAGTTATGAGAACCCGGGGCTGAAAGGCATTTCACCACTGCTGTGTGGGAGTGCTTCAAGCCTCGATAGCCTGTCCTCATCTTTGGGATGCATGTCCTGCCATTTTCTGTTTTCTGCCTGGCAAACTTCTTTCTTCCTTCCAGGCTCAGAACAAAAAAGCTCAAGGGTTACCTGTTCTTTGAAACATTCCTGAATCTCAGAAGGACTTATTTGCTTTCTTTACGTTTACACTACACTGTGTCAAATTTCCATTACAGGAATTGTCTTTTCAACTATGACTCCTTAAAAAAAAAGCTTTATCAAGGTATACATGATATATTAACATAAACTGTACATATTAAAGTATACAAAAAGAACGCTACTATTATTGTCTTGACCCAAGGATGGCTCCATCCTATTAAGTAGCATTTTCTATTTAAACAACAAAAAGTAACATTTATTTATTAAAAAATAATTCAGAAAAATAGGAAAGTATAAGAAAAAGTTGCCTGTAATTCCTAACAGGGCATTTCTTTTTTTTCTTATTTTTACACCGGGGCATGAACCCGTGTCCCCTGCATCGGCAGGCAGACTCTCAACCACGGCGCCACCAGGGAAGCCCGTAACAAGGCATTTCTGAGATTACTCTACTGCTTTTAGTGTTTTGTTTTGTTTTTGCGGTACGCGGGCCTCTCACTGTTGTGGCCTCTCCCGTTGCGGAGCACAGGCTCCGGACGCGCAGGCTCAGCGGCCACGGCTCACGGGCCCAGCCACCCCGCGGCATGTGGGATCTTCCCGGACCGGGGCACGAACCCGCGTCCCCTGCATCGGCAGGCGGACTCCCAACCACTGCGCCACCAGGGAAGTCCTACTCTACTGCTTTTAATTTCCCACATTCACTCAGCAAGTGTGTGTCATTCTGACGGTCACGTGCACAGAGGAGAACCACTTCCTAGTTACTTAGAAGAATACCTGCAGTTGGAAACTTGTTCTCTTTTAAATCGGGCATTCCCAACACCTGAACTACTGTTGTGTACACAGGAATCCCCAAACTTCTTCAAAGGTGGTATTTAGCTGGGAAATAACGTTTTACAAGTCACAGAAATAACCAAGTAACCAAATAACCAAGGCAGCCGAGAAAGCCATTCAAGGAAGCACGATAAGAAATACCGTATTTCATCACACGTAACAAAACTGTGTTAGGCTGCATTACTTCATGTATTACTATGGAAGAAAATGGCTGCCAATTAATTGTAAAATGCCATCAGCTGTAAAACAAATCCTGATTTGGGGGATCTTAAAATGTGAAAAAAAATATGCACCTTAAACCGATAAAATATAGTTGTTCTTAAGCCATGTTGCTGATGGAGGGCAGTCTTTATCCTGTGAGAACACTCCTTAAAAATGGCTTTTTGGAACCATCTGAGCACTGCTGTACCCTTATCTCCTCTTGCTTGTCTGTCAATACATCATTAGAATTACAAAAGGCAAGAAATGGAAATATATCTTCTCTGATTTGCAGACCTCCACATGAAGCTAATTACTCTAGGAAAAAGCACCACGTGATGTGGTTTGGTCTTCCTTCTTCCACACCACTCACTTTCTTTTCTCTAAAGCTCAAAACAACTGAAATAATGTAAATGACAGTAAATTTAAATGTTTACTTTGAGGTAATGAAGTAAACATAAACTTTTAGCCCAAGCATTTTGTGGTCGTTTCTGAAGCATGCTAGGAACCCAAAGAGGGAGACATATCATAAACTTCCCAACTTCAAAGCACTTTCCTTCACACTTGCTGGCTTTCATTCTCCTTGTACTGTAGAAAGGGGAAGGCAATAGGATTCTCATTTCTGTAATCATGCTAGAACTCTTCTGCCTAATGCTTTAGAAACTGATCAGCAAGAACAGTTTCAAACCAGGTCTGATCCCATCAGATCTGGCATTCATTGCCACGTGAAATGCTTGTGAAATGCCATTAGATCCGCACAGATGCCTTCTGAGTATGGAAAAAGTTCTACAATTTTAGCTCTCTATTTGCATTTCAGAACTTAGGAGACTGCTACAGAAATCGAGGGAAAAGGACAAAGCAAATTCATTTCTTTTTCTTGGTTGAAATACCTCATAATGGCATGCATTCTTTGCTTTACCAAAGTCAATAACTTCTGAGATGTGAAGAATGAGGGAGGCACATCTGACAGTGTTTGTCTAGGGAACTGTGACTCCAAATTAAGCCTCCAGAGAATAGAAAAAAACATCCAAGTTCAGTTATCAATTGACTTTTTTATTATATATTATGTCCTTCAATACCCGGCCAAATTGGGGAAATTCTTGGAAGTATGTAGCTAATTAATTTAGTGGTACTGGTAACTCAGAAAGCACATTTAAATCAACTTTACTTGTGAGGTCAAACTGCCCCTTTAATCTCAATAAGGGCTTAATTTCGTTATTTATTAGTCATTTTGGAGATTCTGTCCTGCAAATTCCACAAACAATTCTAGCTTCTGCATACTAGCAACTGTGATCATCTCAAACATTAGTAGGTCTAATTCATGAATTGCAAGCCTCCAGCTGTCAGAATACTAAACAGTTGAGACACAGGTTAAAAGAGGTGCACTATGGGTGAGAACTAGTGATGTCTTTGAAGTAGGCACAGTCAGGGCTCCTCCAAAGATGTCTGTACCTTAATTCCCAGGCCCTGTGAATATGTTACCTCTCATGGCAAAAGGGACTTTGCAGATGTGATTCAGTTAACTATTTTGAGATGGGAGATGATCCTGGATTATCCAGGTGGGCCCAGTATCATCACAAAGTTCCTTATAAGGAAAAGGAGGAGGCAGGAGAGTCATAGAAGATGTGGCAAGGAGGGCAGAGGTCAGCGTGATGAGGGCCACAAGCTAAGTAAGCAGGGCAGCCTCTAGAAGCCGAGAAAGACAAGAGAACAAGTTCTTCCCTAAAACATTCAGAAGAAATGTAGCCCTGACCACACCTCAGTTTTAGCTCCGTGAAACTGATTTCAGACTTCTTCCAGAGTTGTAAGATAATAAATTTATGTTGTCGTGAGTCACTAAGTTTATGGTGACTCGTCAGAGTAGAAATGACACTAATGAAGTCTTATTTCTTTGATACAAGATAAAATTTTTTAAAAATATTTATTTATTTATTTGTCTGTGCCAGGTCTTAGTTGTGGGATCTTTTAGTTGAGGCCTGTGAACTCTTAGTTGCAGCACGTGGGATCTATCTAGTTCCCCAACCAGGGATCAAACCTGGGCCCCCTGCATTGGGAGCATGGAGTCTCAGCCACTGAACTGCCAGGGAAGTCCGATACAAGATACATTACCAGCACTTATTGTGAACTTTTTGAAAGAAAAGCATTATTAAAATCATGTAATGTCCCCATACTCTGTAAAGTCACCTATTTTTTTTTTTTTTTTTTTTTGCCACAATGGGTCTTGATTGCTGCGTGCAGGCTTTCTCTAGTTGTGGCGAGCGGGGGCTACTCTTCATTATGGTGTGCAGGTTTCTCATTGCGGCGGCTTCTCTTATTGTTCAGCACGGGCTCTAGGCATGCGGGCTTTGGCAGTTGTGGCTCGTGGGCTCCAGAGCACAGGCTCAGTAGTTGTGGCGCACGGGCTTAGTTGCTCCGAGGCATGTGGGATCTTGAACCCATGTCCCCTGCATTGGCACGTGGATTCTTAACCACTGTGTCACCAGGGAAGTGCCTGTTTGTAAATTATACCTTAATTTTTTTAAATTGAAAGAAAAGTCAAACCTTTAAAATATTCAGAAAGCTAGAAAAATAGAAGGAAGTACCCTCAGCTGGACACAATAAGAAATTATTATATTTAACAGTAACACATTGGCATCATTCTTATTAAGGGACTTTGGGACATTTTCAACACTTCAAAAAGAAAGCTTTTATCCTTTAGCTGTCACTCAACCCTCTCTCCCTACCCCTAAGCTGTAAGCGACCCCTAATCTATTTTCTGTCTCTCTGTATTTGCCTCTTCTGGACATTTCAATTATATGAAATCATATAAAATGTTGTCATTTGTGACTGGTCTTTCACCTTTGCTCAGCATATTTTCAAGGTTCATCCATGTTGAATCATGTATCAATGCTTCATTCCTTTTTATGTGGCATAATATTTCATTATAAAGATATATCACTTTTGTTTATTCATCAGTTGGTGCACATTTGTATTGCTTCCACTTTTTGGCTGTTATGAACAGTGCTGCTGTGAACACGTGTGTAAAAGATTTTTTGCAGACGTGTGTTTTCAATTCTCTTGGGGATATACCTAGGAGTGGAATTGCTGGGTCATACAATAATGCAATGTTTAACCTTTGAGGAAATGTCGAAACTTTTTCAAAGAGGCTGCACCACTTAAGATCCCACCAGCAACTGACATCAGGGTTCCAATTTTTCCACACTCGTGTGAACACTGGGTATTGTCTGTCTTTGATTTTAGCCCTTTAAGGTGTGAAGGAGTATCTCATGGTAGTTCTGATCTGCATTTCCTAAATGATAGCAATAGTGTCTTTTCATACGCTTATTAGTTATCTGTAGATCACCTTTGGAGAAATGTCTATTTAAATCCTTTGCCTATTCTTAAAACGAGTTCTCTTTCTATTATTGAGTTGTAAGACTTCTTTACTAATTGTGTTTCTGTAAATAAAGTTTTATTTGAACATAGTCACATTCATTCATTCAGATATTGTCTGCAAAGCCTAAACCATTTACTATCTGATCCTTTAAATAAAAAGTTATTTGACCTCTGACTTAAAACAATGAGTTATTGGGAAAGAATGAGATGAATATATCAGAAGAACAGAATAGACAGTCCGGAAACAAAACTGTGTACTTATGAGACTTTCAGTTGTTGACGTAGGTGGTATTTCAAACCAGTGGGGGGAAGATGGGCTAATTTGTTGACAGTGTTGTCATAATCTACTCAACCAATGAAAAGAATAAGGCTAGAACCCTATGACACACCAATGCAAACAAAATTTTTAAACCTAAAAACAAAAATTATAAAAGAATTACAATAAAATAGAGAACGCTGTTAGAATGTTGGGCCAGGAAAGATCTTTTTTCTCTGACATGAAAATTAAACACTTTGCTAGTACAAAAGGTACATAAGTAAGGTTGCAAGAAAATAGTTGCATCATATAGAACAGGCAAATGAGTAAGATATAAGGAGTTCCTACGAATCATTTTTTTAAAGTGGTAATGGACATGAGTGGGCAATCTGCAAAGGAAAAACAGTCAATGCTCAAACTCAGAAATTACTGGAGAAGTGCAAATTAACGAAATAACAGTTTTTCATCCATACTACAGACACGATGATGAAAAACCAGATAATATTAAACACTGGCAAAGATTCATAAAAAAATACTCTTGAAACATAGTCAAGGGTAAATAAGGCTTCTGATGCCTCTAGCACCCCAGCTCCTGTTCTAGGTGTCTGGACAAGAGACACTGAATAAGAGGCACACACAGAGGCACTTACAAAAACTGTGTGTTGTAATAGTGTTTGTGTTAACAGCAAACCACTAACAGTCTCAATGTCCATTAAAGGAGCTTGAGCAAATAAATTACAGCAAATTCACACTATGAGATATTTTCCTGCTGTTAAGAAAAAGTAAGAAAATCTCTACATATTCACTTGGGAAGATCTCTAAATATGCCTTGTTAAGGGAAATAAAATCCGACTCTTAGAATGGAATTTACCATTGTGATAATAATGAATTCTTCTTTCAATAATTTACTTTAGAACATTGTGGTGCTCATATTTAGCAATGATATTTATGTACTGTGTGTATCTGGAAAGAAGTCTACTCTTAGAAAAAGTACTTTTAGTACTATACCATTTAGGATTTTTAAAAAACTGCATATGCACATATGTGTATATAACACACAGGGAAAATGACTGAAATGGTACACACCAAACTCTTGATAGTAATCTGTGGGTAGGGAAGTAAAATCTGGACAAGGGCACGAGAAACTTTCATATTTTGCTTCTTCTATGTGCATAATTTCACCTTTATAATGAATATGTAATTATGTGTTGGATGGTTAATAAAAATCAAAACTTATTAGACTCATGTGTAATTTAAATATATTTTATAGCTGATATTTTGTGTATGCTGGTTCTTAGAAAATATGGAAATCATTTTTTTAAGTCCTAGAAAATATTTTCAGCTTTATAAAAGATAAACGAGAAATTATATACTTCATGTCCTCAATTCTAAGACACTGATTTTAAAATACATCATTAATTTAGTAATAGCTTTTCAGGAAAAAACAAGACATACAATCACACTGGATGTATAAAATGATCGTAAGATGCATTTCAACTTCACAAGTGTTTTTAGATAACGTGATAATTGTAATATTCATCATATTTTGCAGGAAGTATGGAAGTGGAGGTAGGTAGGACTGCAAGTTTGATTTCTTCCCTTGGAATGAACAGACTTATGCTTGCAAACTGTTGAAAATCAGATCCATGTGCCTGCAGCAGGA